TCTATCTTGCCCATTAAAATGCACTTGTGAAGAGCTGAAAATTCTTTTCTTTGTACTTGTCTCCTAGCAACTGCCACGCCTTCTCGAACTATTCGACTTATGCAGCCAACCACCAACCCTTGCAGTGAGTTTTATCTCCACTCCACCGCCATCAATGCCATCGTTGCGGACACAATCATCACCAACAGAGCAGGACTTCCTCAGGACTCATGGCCTGCCAGCATTCGGTCTGCTTGGAGTAAGAACCGGTTTTCCATTGGCCGATCTCTCACTCTGGCTGAGCTGACGACTCGTCTGTATGCCGAGACCGTCGAGAAGACAGAATGGGAGCAGAATTCCTCCGCTATTTCGACAGGTCCTACAAGAAGATTATGGTCGGCTTGTCAGGAAAAAGGTGGGGCCATATTGCCGCCGTCTATTTACCAGGGCTCTGAAGCCTCGGGTCTGACTGGCTCTCCATCCCCTCCTCTGCTACCGGATCCTCCTCCGAACAGTTCGAACAGCACCGCTTCTTCAGTTACTGTCGGCAGTAGCGATGCCATTTTTGACGGCTCCACAGGGGAAAGTCAACTCTCGGCTGGTCGTCAAGACGAGTCTGGCACCCCGCCTGTGGAACCCACGAATGAGGCGAGCTCAGGTCCGATTGAGTTTGTGCAAGCTGAGCAAAGTCTATTTGAAAGCAGCTACGAGTCAGTTAAGACGACACGCATAACTGACAATACAACTCCTCGGTAAGTGAATTTGCAGTACAGTACAGACCCCTGACATTATTTGACTATATTATATTTATTAATATTAATATTTCTTTATTTATAGATGATTATATTTATGACCAGCTCGTATAATTGTGTGATAATTCAACGATCAGTATTTCACCACCTTTAAATAAACTATTGTGAATACAGCTCAAATATGTATATAGGCAATATATATAAATAAATATATATAATGCGACTCGGCTTTTAATTTCAAAGAGAATATTGATTGAATTCACATAAACTCATTTACCCTAGCATAAAAGTTGTAGGCAAATAGTTTTTTTTTATTAGTTTGTCTTCTTAAACGGAATAAGGTGAATAAACTTCATCTATTGTTAGTCGCTAAAACCTACTTATAAACAAAAATAAGTAATATAATTTGTTGTAATAGTAAAAAAAATTTGCTTCATAAAAAATATCACCGCTGAAGGTGATATAAAAAGGCTTGTCCTTCCTTGATATTTTTATCCACCCTGTGA